CGCCCCATTCAGAGAGCTTGACTGATCCCATACAACGAAGTGGATTGGCTCCAATGTGTGTGCGTACCACTTGGACTTGTCCCCAATCAGAGTAGGGTCAAACACTCCCGTGTGCACTCGTAGGAAGGCCACGTTGCTTGGTGTCAGAGACCACTCAGCAAGGAATTCTACAGCCTGTGCACACACAAGGAACATTAATTACAAGGTGTAAATAATGCTGGCTTTTCGCTGGGGCTACTACTAGCGAAACCCTCCCTTTCAAGCAATTATATTATTCTTCTATTACTCGCTCATGATGTTTCACCTGCAGAGGGTTTTAAGTACGCAATAAGATGGAATAATTATCATGAATGGTGAGTGGGGAAGGACTTGAAAGGAGACAGTAGTTGCCTGTTGGATAGTCCTGATATTTGCTAGAGAAACTAATAAAAACCTTGTAAGATTTCACGTTCCTATGGCAGCAAGCATGAAGAAGATGGCTGTCTTCTGGGTTGTCACACTGCATAGTATGGTACAAGTTTACCGACGTTACGGAGCAACTTGCTGCATCCGAAATGTCGGTACAGTTCTACCACACTAGATGGTACGACAACCCAGAAGACAGTCATCTTTCCAGTAAAATTCTGACCCATGATAGCTGGAAACACAGCTGAGACTTAACCCCTCAGGCCACAATTCCATACACCCACAAAGACAAAGCCAGCATTCCCGTAAAGCAGCGATTCACGCAGTCATATTCCTTTCGCTCCTAGGTGAAGCATAGGGCCTCCATATGAAGTTAAGATGGCTCAAAAATTCTTAATATTTCCTTCATATATTAACAAAGTGCTAAAGTATCAACTGTTTCTATTAAAAAAAATTAAAGAGTTTTAATCTTGGTTTCTCTCCGACATATCGTTCAAGGTCAGCATACATCAATATGGCTGATGTCTCAAGCCAAGTAAATGTTACTGACACAGATCTTTAGAGAATTTTATATTAAATGTCAATAACAAATAAACTGAGCTATTGACTGGACTGTTAAACTACCAACACGCAAATAAAAAACAGAAGAAAGGAAACATTGTATATCTCATGAACGGAAAGATTTATATTTATTTTAATACTTGTTTCCAATTAGCGTTATTGAAATTTTAGATGCTGAATAACTATACACAGTTGACTGACAATGATTAGGAAACTGACCGGCCTAAGGGGTAACGAGCAGATCCCAAAAACATACTCACACCAATACACATGTTTTGTACATGAACAATTTTGATAAATGTGACTATAAAGTACGGAATACCTGTTCTTTAACTTCACATCTTAGCTATTCACAGATTCTAACAATAATGAAAAAAAAAAATTGTGATTACTCAATTCTTGAACTATGTTCATCATCTGTTCTTAAAAAGAACACTACATTTTGGAAGCTGGATCTGCATCCTTCCTCAGGTTAAAAATTGGGGATAGGGACACCTATTCAGTTGGGTCTGAGAAAGAGCACTGCTGCAAAGAGGTTGCATTCAAATTATAGGAGCAGCATGGTGTGCAGACAGCCATTACCTTACCTGAGTTCGAGCAAATCTGTTAAGGAAGTGAGAAGTGCGAGGGCGAGATCGCAGGAAGCTGTTGATCTGAAACGCAACCACAGGGCGAGGGTAGAGGCGAAGCGTGCGTGTGTGTTCTGTGAAGTTTGCCAACAGATTCTGTGAGTTGAAAAAGCGAACCTGAAGTCAAAACAAAAAAAACAAAAAAAATGTCACAATTACCTTGTTACAACATTGGGTGCATCTGTAAGGATATTCAACAATGAAGTTAAAGTTACAATTAGTATCTGAACAACTTTGGGATTATTTTTAGGGGTACTCTATCACTTATGAATCCCTGAACTTCTTGGGGGCACTTCTGTTTGATTATTTTACTTTACTCACATAAATATAGCATGTGAAAGACGATAACCTTAGCAGTCAAACTTCTCTACTTTCACCGCCAATCTGAAGATGTACTGTATTGTTGGATAATAGAGCATTTTCCTTTTGGGTTGTACACTTGGAAGTAAAGTTCCTTGCATTCTTAGCCTCAGCATCCATTTGTTTTTGTTTTATTTATTTATTTATTATTCATTTAATGTCAGCAGCTCAGACTATACAGCATGATATAATAGGATTATTCATAAATAATGAATTTAAAAAGATATGAAGATATGGAAGGAAGCAGTTGTGCCCTAACTTTAGGTATTATCCTGGAATTAGCCTGGGAAGGCTATGTTATGACAGCCTAATATTTTTAGAACACATATAATATTCAAAATAAACTTCACTCAAAGCAAGAATTATGCTGAAAGGACACAAACCCAAATGAAATTTGCCTGAAAAGTCCTGTTATCACACATCATCAGAATCTGTCCTGTGGTTTGAGCAGGAGAACGCAATGTCAACAGCAGACACAAAACTCTGTCTGTCCTTCCCGCTAGCAGTGGCACTGCACTCACCATTGCGACTCTGGTGGCAACATCTACAGAGTCCACGTCATTGCCATAGATGAAAGGGTTGAAGCCCATTGCAGCGGCACCTGTGGGATGCGGGTGTAGTGCTACGGACTGCTCCAGCTGTAACAGAAAACCTAACCTGACTTCTCGGTCTACATTTATAGAAGACAAGGAGATGGTCCGTGGCGTGACGGCATCAAAAGAGGCAAATCAGGATACACGCATACAGCTGCCTTCAATTAATCACTCTGAAAACAATGAGGTTACACTATTAAGCTTACCATTTCACTAGTTTCTCAGAAGAAGCATGACAGACAATTATATCAATCACACATGATTTGACACGCAGTCACAGCGTGTGGTTGCAGAAAACTGTTTGAAAGCAGCAACATGGAATGATGAGAAGAATAAGGAAAGATAATACAAAAATTAAAATAAAGAAATTAAGTTTTGCATTAAAATTCCTTAGGTTTGTTTATGTAATAATGCTGCTTCAATGGTGTCAGTTACGTAGCATCAAACAGTAGTACAGTATTCAGAACTAAAACTTGCAATTTGTTTTAAAATATTGTCCAGAGAAAAAAATTAACAGCCTCAGGATCCCTGGCATACATGAAAAGGGGACCTCTTACATACATTCAGCAAACTTGCTATCAACAAAAGCTTTGACTGGATTTTGAGGATGTCATGGCAATGAGTATGTCATCCCTTATCAGCAGTGGCAAATGCTGTGATCTGGCTACTGGTGTGCTGCCAGGTTATTGGAACTTGAGGAGCACAAAAGAAATGCTTTCATTTCTTTGTTCGGCCTCAGCTGTATAAATTATGTAGCTCACCTAACACAGCATTTGATAACCTTCATATGTGCCAAGGGAGCAGAAGTTTCACTGCTTGAATACAGGTTCCAGGTTGCAGTGAGAAAGAGTATCACTTCTTTAACCTTGCCAGATGGTGTGGTCGTAATTACATTATACCTCAACCAAGCTGGATGGTGTGTTGCATACAGCACGAGTATCTTTCCTTTATGTGATATTACTGTGATGACAGTACACTAGTCTGGTTGCTTTCAAACATAAATTTTTTGTACTTTGATGTCAGTGCACAATGAGTCTGTCTGAAGCTGACGCAATACAATGAGGAAAATAAATGACAAAAAAGGCGCTGACTGGACACAAGAAATGTCAATTTTTCTAATCGAACACTTTTCCATTGATTTCTGATATTTTCTTTCACATATTGCAAACAAAAGGTCTGAACACAGATTTCGTGCCACTGAAAGAAAATAATTTCAAAGTTACGTACAAAATTAACGTGGCACAGAGTTTCCACTTCCGCTGGAGTCACAAAATATCTGAAGCAACCCAAGGAAACAAAGAGGGGCGAAATCCAACATAGTAAATTATGTAGATAAAAAGTACATAATTTTCTACAAATTAGTGACAACCTAATCAATTATGTCAGCTTGTTTCTCAAGAAATGAAAATATGAATTTCTCATCTTTTCACACTGCAAGAAATTTGACTTACACAAGTTCAAGACTACCCATCCTGAACAGCTTACATGAACACTAGCCAAAGTTTATGATGGTTTCTTCGACTGTGCATTGCTAAAAACCAGAACTGTCCTTCATGGCTCAGAAGACTTCAAAGGAAGATCTTGTTATGATATGCTATAATGGTTTCATAGCAACAGCACAGCAATCACTTTTTAACAAACTCATAACTAACTACTTTAATATCCATGATCGAGGTAGAATGGCTTCAGCTGAACAAGGCTCCTCGGCCTTCAAAAAAGAACCCTTTGCTCTACTCAGGATGGGAAAGACTATGTCATCTCTCTGTTGTCAACAGAGAGAGCCTTAGTTGCAGACTTCAAAAAGCCTTATTTCTGTAACCATGTCACTGAAAAGATCGTGGCAATGGATGGGAGTTCCATTTCAAGTAATCAAAAAATGTCAGACAAGATTTTCAAAATGCGTTTTCCTGTGGATCATTACTGACATATGGTTGTAGTGTTTGTACTTATTGAAAGAATAATACAATTACTAAATAACATAATCGGGACACCACCACCACCATCATTATTAAATACTTGAACATTGGAGGATTTAACAATATTGCATTTCCACATAACCTGACTTCTAGATCAAGGGTTATTACTTCCCTCCCCTTGTATTCCTGGCCTTCATTATTTTTAATTCATTGCTATTTCTATTTTACTTACATTTTATTAAATTTTCCTTATTCTGGTTTTCCGATCTTTACTTCAAATGTTGTATCTCACTTATTACTTCTTCGATAGAGCTCTGCAGACGGCCCTTCGCTTATCATTAGTTCTCCTGCCCTGCCTACCCTCACTCCAATTCTTCCCTCTCCCAATGGTTCAGCCATGGCTTTGCCTTGTCCAGTATCTGTCACAACCTTTCCATGATTCATAACCGTGATTATGGAGGCAGTAAACTTCCAAAACATCACTCAATATCTATCAGGCTACATGGAGCAACATCACAAAGGACAGTCATCTTCAGCAAGCTTTGAAATTAGCAATGCTGAATGCCAGAGTTAAGATTCCTGACAAGTAACTCTGAAGTGCGTAAACTGCAGGAAAGAACCGTACCTGCTGTGAAGCCACGGACTCACGCCGGCTGGTCACAGCAGACGGCGAATGGTATACTGTGCCACGATATTGCATGGATACCGGTGACATGAGACTGTCTCGTCGTACCACCCCCGTTATTGTCTCCACCTGCATGGGCTGGGGGGCTGAACCTGACACTGGTACCGACATGCTGCTCAGAGCCTGTCAGGGGAGACATCACAGTGTACCACCTCTGAACAGTTGGCAATGAGTAGTAACATGCCATCATGATGCACTATGCTACTGATGCGAGTGAGCATTATTTCACATACTACTTTAAGTTATCAATATTCTATAAGAACAGGAATGGGATGTGCCATCACTTGCATCTCACATCATTCCTACTGAATCATGCTCTAGCACTAACAAACTAGAGCCATCTACAGGTAGATATAATGCAAGGAACAAATTATCTATATGGGGTCCCACCACAGAACTTATATCAAAATCTGACATCATATAATAAATATTAGGCCGCATTAACAAAGTCAGAAAGACACTGACACGCAAATATTTCAAATAAATATTCAATGTGCACACGTTCTCAAATGAACGGTGATTCTCAAACTCATGTCATTTTAAATGTCATAACTGTGAGAGGTAACAGCAGAAAAGCTTTATGTGATGCAATTCAACAAACTATGTTCCTTTCAACGCTTTACCATGTGCGTTCTATGTTCTCTCTCATGCAAGTTTCATCTAAGAAGCTGCGAGTCTGGATATAACTTTGGGCTTAACTCTCCAAGTTTCACTACTGCATAATAAAGGCTTTATACAATCTCATTCTTGTATTTTTCAGAAATATTACTCATTTATGAACACTGTTTGATAGACTTTCAAATTTTCCCTTTTCCCTTCCTACAACAATTAACAACCTAACCTAAACCCTTTTCCCTTCCTACAACAATTAACATCCAAGGTAACTGAAGACATTACTATGATTATTTTATTTGATCTAAAACTTCTTGACGATGGTGAAGAGTCAATTGAATAACAATTTTCTTGGATATTATCCATCGTCTAGTAAATATAAAACGTAAAACGACGTTTCGGAGATGGGACTCTATCTCCGTCTTCAGGTTCCGGACCGGAGATAGGGATTAGCTCTATCTAGTGGGCCCAACTGTGTAGGAACCTGAAGACGGAGATAGAGCCCCATCTCCGAAACGTCGTTTTACGTTTTATTACTAGACGATGGATAATATCTCCGGACCGGAGATAGGGATTAGCTCTATCTAGTGGGCCCAACTGTGTAGGAACCTGAAGACGGAGATAGAGTCCCATCTCCGAAACGTCATTTTACGTTTTATATTTACTAGACGATGGATAATATCCAAGAAAATTTTTATTCAATTGATTATTTTATTGCTGAACAACATTTTTAACTTCTTACCAGATCTTTGGCGTGTGAATGGCATGGCTCATGTGTTATCTGTTGAATGATTACTAAAACCATGTAATAAAGCTAGGACATGATGTCACGAAGTAGGCACATAACCTTGTCGGATAACTGAACATGTTCATGTTCAGAACAAGTGTGGGAAGCAGCACTTCATCTGGAGTACATACTTTCGCCACATCATATATTCTTTCTGCACGGCTATAATGTACATTTACTACAGATACAAATCTTCTGTTGTAGACAGAAACACTGTTCCAAACTTCATCCTTTGACAAGAATTCCATAATTAATTTTACTTGTATTATGATAAGTGTTCACTACAAAACAAAATTTTCAAATAAATATGTAGATATTAATAAGCTCTATGTTTTATGTCATGTCTGTATGTAGATCAGCTCTGAAGAATATTAACAAGCTTCATATAAAGTATAGGTTATGTGATATCAAAATTAAATTCCTTGCATGGCATTTAGTGTACACCACCAATATTAAACTTTGTTGAAATCTACCAATTAGTTTTGGAGATGAAACATGTATAAATGTGATCTCCCTATTACGTATTCACTTTCTGCACTCTGAGCCAAGAACACATGCAAAAGAACTACTGCTTTGCCCATTACTGATCCAGTATTACAAACAGAAAACACAATATTTCCCATCATGCACTCTGCCACCAGAAACTGATGCAGAAGCTGCTGTGATTATGCAGCATTGAACAATAAAGGTATGACGATTATCAACAATAAATTTGGAGCGAAACAATCCTATTTCCACACTAACACAAAACAAGTACAATTCCATTGTCTCAGTCTCCTGTCATCTCAGGCCCAAACATATGCTGTTGTCATGCTTCAAACAGCTACAAAGGCATGTAGGATAAGCAGAACGAAATACAGCATGTCATTAAATACAACTTTCAAATGGTAGAAAGTGATTCCAAAAGAAATTTGCTTGATTACATAGAATAGGTGCACGATACAATCTGAGGCCTGTACAAATGCGACCTACAAGACAAGAGAGAGAGGAGATTGGTCAAAGACTCCAAGATGACAGTTTCATTAAAAAATTGAAAGACGCTGGAGAATTAAAATATTAGTCACAAGGTTTCTGACCAAAAGTAATTGGAACATCTACAAACACACAATACTAGGATCATATCGGACTTCTTCCGTCATTCCACTTACAAAGAACAATAAGTTCATGTTGACACCACATCAGGTCCATTTAGATTTCATTCTGTGTGAAAGGTGTTCCTATTCCCGACAGATTGAAAAATTATATTTTGATTAAAATACCACATTGCACCAATCTGTTCTAAACAACAGATTGTAATGTACTGATTTAACGAGATATGATGTACGCGCCAACACAATGCCGGTGAACTGAGCATATCTACTCATTTCTGTAAGCAATAGACTTCTTGCAAGCTGACAGCTGCAGACAGAACACTTCTACAAAAGTTTCCATCACAAAATTGGATGTTTCAAGGCCACAGGATGTGCAAACTTCCTTTGCTATGAGCTCTGCGTTTCCAGCGCTGCAAGTTGTGATTTGTCTGCACTCCACTCATATATAAGGTGGGCGCATAGTCCTGCTACAACATTGTCATTCTACGAATTTAAATCTGTAATTCATTTTGCAAATGTTCATAATATTTGTTATATTAACCACCATGCATTCACAACACAAAAAGTAAACAGTATTTTACGACAAATTAAAATACTTATAGGGATGTGGTTTTTGAGAACCTGACTCTAAAAGTATATTTCACCGCCAGAATGTACGATGTAACCGTAAACTCACAGTATCATCATCAATAACTTCGTGGATTAGGCCTCCAGTATCCTCCTAAAACTGATCTTTCCACCTCTTCCTTGGCCATCCCACATTTCTTCTTCCCTTTGACCAGTGACAATTTAACTGAAATGGTGTGTGGTACGATTCCTTACGTAATAAGTGGTCATGCTAATTTATTCTATAAGTATCTAATATTTCCATGATATTTTGTACTCCAAGTTCAGAGCGTGTATGATCATCATGTTTTAAGTCTGTTAATGTACAGCCTACAAATGGTCTTAATAACTTCATTTCAGCAGCATCGATCCTTTTCCTTTGAGGGGCTGTCAGTGTCAAATTTTCTGCAATGTACAGCAAAATGGGGACAGCCAGTGTTTTAGAAAATTGTACAAGTGTTTCTTTCCTTACTCTTTTTAGTAGTTCTTTTTACTGTGCCCAGTAGCTGCAGGAATTTGGTCAACCTAATTTCTGGGTCTTTATTTGTAACATAAGAAATATCACATCCTAAGTAGTTAAAACAAATCAATTGTTCTCGTATTTGGTTACTGATTTCTGTTTTAGCTCTGAAATATTCTACTCCTTTGAATGCAAGGACTTAAGTTTTCTTTGTAGATAATCACAGATTATATACATTTGCAATATTATTTAAGCTGAAGACTCGTAGCAGTGTACAATAATTCAAGATGCTGAGAAAAATTATCCACCTATTAAAATAATAATCAAACGTTACAAGAAATGTATTATAAGTACGGTTATATTAATGCAGTGATAAAAATACCTCATGAATGATATCACGAATGAAAATGTTACATCATGATGAAGTGAAACGTCCCGCAAAACATACAACTCAACTGGAGTTGTCTGGACTCTGCTGCTGGTATTGCAACCATGAAACATCTAATTCTGTGGCGGCTACTGTGAGAGCCAACTGATAAACTGACAGCACAACACAAGTCAATAACCTCATAATTTCTTGCATTAACTCTCAGCAATTATGGCCCACCTGAACTAAGTAAACACACTACTATAAACTTAACGTAAGAAGTTAACTATTTCTAAGTGCAAGTCTCAACAGAAGGTAATTTTTCTGAAAGGTTAGAGAAAAAAGGATTGTTGACTGCTCTGTGAAGTCAAGATCAAGATCACTCCTGCTCAGTAAGGAAACAAGATGAGAGATGTGATCCTGACATGGTGCCAACATCAACACGCAAGATTTCTTGAAAATTGAAATATAAACGTGAATAAATGTAGTACGACATTACTGGAACAACAGTGAGAGCCTAGTGCATGTTTCCTGTTGTACGCTGCTTAGTAAGTCAGTCAGTCAGTGGGTCAGGCAGTGAGTCAGTCGTCCAGCCGATCCAGCTGCCGTCTGGTTGGCCTGCCCGCCAGCTGGTTTACACATGTATGGAATTTAATAACTAATTCAACTTCCCATTTCCTTGACAAACTAAAACATTAAATTCATGATCAGAAGCAGATACTGCTTGAGCGGACATGTAGCATACAATAGCGCAAACATGGTTTCAGCATGCTGAGGGTGTCATGCTCAGAGAAGTAATGAGAGAAATATTTACTGCTGTGCCAACCTGGTCCATGAGTTGCATAGCCTTAGTAGAGACAGAGAAGACAGAACGGTACAACAAAGTTACTATCAAGCACCACAGCAACGCTTCCTTATAAAAGAACAGACACTTAACAAGACATGTCATAGTTATCCCAAATATAAGACAGTGTTTCTTCTCTCAATCAGTCCGAAGATCATAAGTTATGAGTTAAGAAAAGGTCCCACTCGTACATTTGAGTGACAGACTACAGTAGTAAATTTTGGATGTTCATAATTAAAAAGTTATGAATATAATCAGAACACTTTTCTAGTAAATTCTGCCAACTAGTGGCTTGTCACAGAACTTTCTTCGTAGAAAAGAGAATGTTGCTCCTCTGTGGTGTAAACAGAAATGCTTGGTAAGATTGAAGTTTACACAGCAGTGAGTCTGAAGACGGCCGTCTTCTGGGTCGTTGCGCCATGTAATCTGGTAGAAGTTTAACGACGTTTCAGAGGTATTTGCTGCCTCCATCATCAGGGCGATGAGCCTGATCGCCCTGATTATGGAGGCAGAGGCAGCAAGGTCCTCTGAAACGTCGGTAAACTTCTACCAGATTACATGGCGCAACGACCCAGAAGACAGCAATCTTCAGAAATGCATAAATTAAAAGTGTGCAAAGCATAAGATGCTCTGCATTCTACTATTTTAAAACGAAGATTATTTATTAAATAGTGTGGATGAAAGAAATAAACAACTCTTGTAACATCTTACCTAGGAATGCATAAAGAATAGTCTATGTAATACTGAGACAGAAAAACAATGATTTCTCAAATGACTAAAGCCTGATCTTTGTATATCAGGCAATGCAGGCCATAAAATTTATGTTTAGGAGAATAAATTCAGATTTCTGAACGGCAACAGAGTAGCATGAAGCATGATAAAGGTGCATTAATCAACAATAGCAAAGCCAATACTGAGGCAAATGGACAAGTCAGAAATGTCTGCAAAAAAGAGTCACTGGTTATGGGCTGAATGACCAAGACAGCGGGCAGCTAGCGGGTACGAGGATGGAACCACATACCACTCACCTACAAGCAACTGTATCTTATTTTAATTGTTTACAGATTATTTAACTGCACTTTTTAAGTAGTTCAGACTATACAGCATCAAAGAGGATTATTATTATTAAGTGTTCTGTCTTACGACAGGTCCATTGCTCTGCCCAAAAAGAGCTCTCCAGTTGTCCCTATTCTCGGCTTCTCGTTTTAATTCCTGGAACGTCATCTTCTTTCCTTGTTTAACATTCTACCACTGAACCACCGATGCTTCCAAAGAGGATAACAATGAATAATGAACTGGAATGGATGTTGAAGGTTCGTGGCCTAATTTAAGGTACTATCCCGGCATTTGCCTGGAGGGACTGAGAAAAACCACAAAAAAACCCAGTCAGGATAGCAAATCTTTGGCCTCAGATTTGAACCCAGAACCTCCCGAATATAAATCAGGAGTGTTAACCACTCAAAGGAAGCTATTTAGACACAGGGACACAACTTTATCTCTACTGTCAACTATCGATTTTAGGGCATTGTTTAGATTTTACAATGCTGTCGTAGATTCTGGTGAATATGACACATGGAAATTAATTTTCTAATTCCTGCCTATTTTGTGGAGTCACATGAAGTTCTGCATCTGTCACATGTAACAAAAGAACCAGTTGTTCCTAATACAGAATCGTGTGACACTACAGTAAGACACCGGTACACTCAGGCTGAACCACCATGTCAGAGCCCGCGTGCCCACAACTGTACCCCAGCACCCACCTACGCAAATATCCATCTACTTACAAAGGATGGATAGCAATACATTAAATGCCTAAACTGAGCAGTCAAAAGTGCTACAAAATAATCCCATGCCACTGAGTTCCACCGCAATGAAGGGTTCAAGTGCAAAGCACTCGTCATGTGAGAAAGAGAAAGCTGGTCATTGTGATAGCAGCGTTTCACAAGGGAGGGACAATGCAAGATTTGAATGTGACCTCCTGAACATGATGCAGGGTTGCTAACCACTACATCATGGCTTGGTATTTAGGGAAAACAAGTTGCCAAAATGACGGATCATTCATCCTGTTAGGAAATACAGAAACTGCTTCCTCATGTGACTTTATAACAAATATGGAACAAGTTGCAACTTCAGCATCAAACTCTCGTGTCCTTTGCCAATCTTACAATCACAATGCAAACAGAAGTTCATGCAGACTGCAGCATGGAAGAGCTTAACAAACTTCTCTCTGTAACCAACTCGCAAATCCACCTTACTCATTTAACCGGCAATGCAGGTTTCATCTGACAGATGGTATTCTGGGCAACAGCAGAGACGTCACACTTAAAATGCCTAAATATCAAATTTCAAACAGAATTAAACACAATAAAAATTCTGACCATACTTCCCTTCACGTACTTCAGTTTCAACTGAAACATTACACAAATAATAAATTAAAACAAGATTGGTAAAGTACTCTTTGGAGCAAACTGAATTCCAAAGACATTCTTCGCAGTACATCACAAGCACTGACGCCATTAGGGAGACCAAGCGAGTCACAAATGCAACAATGTTATCGTAAGGTTACTGCTGCAATAATTATCCAGCAATGACCTTAGACATTGCAACAGTGTACTCCAGAAATGACATTGGTTCACGCTGTTGCAAGAATGTGTCCTAACAAAGACCTCAGTTCACATTTTTGCAACAAAGAGGGTAAAAGAACATGGATTCCCAGGCCCAGTAGCCAAGACAAGGGGAAGAGGCCCACCTGACAAAGTTTGTGGAGCAATATGTGACACAGGCTCAAACTTAGGTCAGAATGCATTCAGAGGAAATGCCTCGATGATAAAGTTGGAGCGGTGGAGGGCTATTGGGGAGAAGACCTGAGGTTTCTATATGGCTTGCAGACCCCTTAGTTGGCCAAGCCTATGCATGGCAGTACTGTGGGTGGCTGGAAAAGGGTGTTCTGAACTCCGAAGGCTGTAGCACAGCACAGTTCTTAATGAACTAACGGCGTTCTCAACTAGTCGAGAAATTGTCAGTCTTTTACGGAACTCAGAGGTTCGTTAACATGTTCACGAGAACCCATCATTTTTTACTTTCACAGAGAAATAACAACTATCTCATGACCCTACTCAGACAGACTGTAATCCCACATTTTATCATATTATTTTATAAAAATAATTAATATCTTAATTGCGTCATGTTTGTGTTTTATTGATACAATATTTTATTTTCCGTCTATACACAAACTTAAAATAATGTTGTTAAAATTACTTAAAATTATAACATTCTCAGTAGATACTGCATCTTGTTACATTATTTTTTTTTGTTATCGACGACATGTTTCAATGTGTATTACAAACAAAAATTTAAAATTAAACAAATCAAATTAATCAATATACGCAACGCAAGATGTACAACAGTTTTTAAAATATATTAAAATTGATCGACCTGATGATGATGTAATACACATTGAAACATGTCGTCGATAACAAAAAATGTAACAAGATGCAGTATCTACTGAGAATGTTATAATTTTAAGTAATTTTAACAACATTATTTTAAGTTTGTGTATAGACGGAAAATAAAATATTGTAAAAATAATTACTTTACATTTGTAAAATTTTGGAAAAAACAAAACCTATAGCAAAGTCAATATAGGTTAACATTTGTCTGACACATTTCCTATTCAATGTGGTCTAAAACAGAGAGATGTATTATCACCATTCCTTTTCAACTTTGCTTTAGAATATGCAATTGGAAAGGCCAAATAAAACCAAGTGGGGGTGAAACTGAATGTGTCCCATCAGCTTCTGGTGTATGCTGATGAAGTAAATCTACTGGGGGATAACATTAAAACCATAGAGAAAAAACAAAGATGCTCTAACTGACGCTAGTAAGGAGGTTGGTCTAGAAGTAAACTCAGAGAAAACTAATGTCTCAACACCAGAATGCGGGGAAAAATCGTAACATAAAGATAGCTAAAGGATCATTTGAAAATGTCACGAAGTTCAGATATGTGGGAGTGACAGTAACAAATGAAAATTTGATTCATGAGGAAATTACAAGCAGAATGAATTTGGGTAATACTTGCTAGCATTCAGTTCAGAACCTTTTGTCTTCCCATCTGCTGTCTAAAAATGTAAAGATTAAAATGTACAAAACTTAATTTGTTGTAGTTTTGTATGGATATGAAACTTGGTCTCTGACACTAAGGGAGGAACGTAGACTGAGGGCGTTTGAGGAGAATATCTGGACCTAAGAGGGATTAATTACTAGCAGAATGGATAAAGTTGCATATTGAGGACTTTCATAAGTTGTGCTCATCACAAATATAATGAGACTGACCAAGTCAAGGTGTATGAGGTGGGCAGAGCATTTAGCATGCATGGGAGAGAAGATAAATGCATATAGAATTTTGGTGGGCAACTTCTTGAATGGCTGAGTGACTGTTGGCCTCTCAGGAAGGGCTCAGCTCCATGGAGTAAGTAGTAAGTTACTTCACATTAATTCATGTCAAGGCAAATAACTCAGAAACTGGAGCTAATATGTGAAAGAAATACTGCCTCCAAATATTATATAATAAAGCAATGCTTTGGAACAGACGCGTCAGGAGTGACAATTTATATGGAGTGTTCGGGCCAGGAGAGGATTAACAAAAGTGGCATTATTGTCAAACCATGTTCAAAGTTTGTGTGGCAGCCATGCCACTGTGAGATTTTCTGAAACACATTACAAAGATCCCCATAAAACTTTCATAACTATGATTTCATACCAGCACAAAGAGCAATATATAGTTAAGTATTACATGGACACACAAGTTTCCATGCTGCAGCCCATACTGAAATAGTTCGAAATTTATTTCACAATTCATATTATAATTACAGAAAATTAGGTACCACTTAATCAGTTATTTGATAATTTTATCTCCTTTAACATGGACTGTATTTTATAACTCCCTGTTTAGATGCTTATTATATACAGTTTGTGAACAAAAAGTAATAGGGTGGAGTATCCAAGAAAGAGGAATATCTGATGGAAAGAAACCTCTCGTGACACTGGGGCACAGATGGCAGGATAACGCCAAAGTGAACATTGGGGAAGTAAGTTGTGATGATGCAAACTTTAATTACCTGATGTAAATCAGCTGAGCCATAAATGCTATGTGCAATGAGTAGAATGAGCTATATGTGAAATACATGGAAAAGAAGTGTAATTAAGACCAAAATTTAACATTTTCTTTCACCTGCTAGTAAAATGTGACAGATAAAGAGTTGGGCAGCTGCTAACCAAAAAGACAAAGAAATGGAACGTATTCTCTGAAACTGAATATAGCTATTTGTGGCAACTGCGGCCATTTTTATTAAACGAAACCTCACATCAAAAGAAGCGCCTGACCGATTCTAAATTTCACCAAACATTATTTCTGGAATAAAGACTCTGATAAGTTCAGTATTAAAAAAAAGATCCTTTAATGTCTGTAACAGTCAGTGGTGCATTTACGTTGATCTTCGATGCAACTAGACGGTAAACACAAACATATAATAACATGGTGAGATTTAATGTTTTCATGGTAAAGATTATGAAGATGGCTGTCTCCTGGGATGTTGCACTGCATAGTCTGATAGACAACGACCACCGTTTTCAGAGGAGCTTACAGTCTCCTGATGATGAGGACGGTAAGCCTCGGCCAATATGTACCAAACTACATGATGCAACATATCAAAAACACAGCCATCTTCAATAATAGCATCAATTCAGAATAAATTATAAACTTCAACTTCTGAAAGAACAGACATGCACTGAAGTTTTACATTATTGTTTATTTTACATAGTCCTCTTCCAATCTGTTAATTTTTACCACTGTACCAACCATTCACAGTAAAATTTAGCTTAAATTATAGAAGGTGATTTAAATTAAATGTTATTACACAGCCCTCTACAGCTGACAGACTGACAGAGAATAACAGGCAATAGGTTATTTTTTATCATCACTTCGTGTCTACTTTCAATTACAACGTCCATGTTTTACGTCTGCAGTTCACTGCAGCTGATATTTAAGGTCTGTGCTATCTGAAGTCTACCAACATTTCAATGCCTAATGCAGGATCAAACTGGCTTGATATAAATCAGTTTTGTATTCTGGAAATATTTTACTTCTTTCAACAGACCTTGAAATGTATAATAAACAAACAAATTCATAACCTTTAAAATACTAAACATAATCCTATGGACATTCTGTGCATAATGAAGTTGAAGTTCTATATAAAAAGGAAAAAATTAATATTTTGTTATGTTTTCCATGATGGTTTTGAGTTTGTACTTTCATTGCTAGTTATGTCACAAGACATAAACATCAAATAATATTTGAACATAACAAATTCTTCTCCGGCTACTAGCCATGTCAGGAGGTTGAAAGTTGAAAAAACCAACATTTCAAGAACCTTCTTCATCCTTGTTGTCAGGGTACTCGCAATGACAGTCTTTTCATCTTTCAACCACCTGACATGGCTGGCAGTCAGAGAAGAACTTGTTATACTTAGGTTACATATTTGCACAAATTCACTAATTTTTCAATTTCTTCATAGCTGCAGAATGCAGTGAAATACTCAGAGAATACAAATGATGAGTTATTAATTTTCATCCCTAAATGACCAGAAAACTATCTCCACATCAAATAAGGAACATGGAAAATTGTCATTCTGCCATATGAAAGTGAGATTTTGAACAGAAAATATGTAAAATCCAAGTACGAAGGAAACATATTTCAAATACTTTGAGAATAAAAAAATATTTTTAAGACACAAAACTGTCCCCAACTGGGAAGAACTGTGGGCTGGCTCCACAGAAGAATGCAAACCATAAGAACAGGTTAGAGGGGTCATTCAAGGGCTTCCTTCAGATTAGATCTAACGTAAACAGAGATGGGTGAGGCAGGAACTCAAATGGGGCTCATAAAATGTTCAGTCCATGCCTGTACTCCTCGATATTCTCATTCAGTCTATCAAGTCACCATGAAGGACTCACCTGCTTCAGGTGGTTCTTGAGGATTGTGCCCTCAGGCTCTGGAAGGTTTGGGATATCGTCCGCAGGACCAGATGGTGGTGTGATCTTATTTGAATCCAGATCCACAAGCCAGATGTCATCAGGAAGCCTGACAATGACAGGCAAATGAAAATGTGCGACATAACAGGAAAAGACGTTCTAGCCCAAAATTATCATTTAATTAATTGATTGATTGTACGGTCATTTAAAATTGTAAGATATCATGCCATTAAATTTTTCAGCTCAAAGTGCACACTATATAACTTCAAATATTCAATGCAGCTGCCAATTAAAAGTGCCTCTTCTTCCTTAATTCCACACAAATTTGAAGTTCCAATCTTAAGACAGCCTTAGCTATGAAAGCTCTGCAATACTGATCTTTCGTAACCTCAAATTTGAAATCATATGTTTCTCAGACATTACATGTAAACATACCTAAAGTTCTTCTTGTACAGCAGGAAGCTTGCTGGTACGCCTATGACGAATGGTGTGGGTGCCAGCAACAGCTACAACAAACAAAAAATGGTGCCCTTCTTTTAACTATTCACACATTTCTTTAGATTTCTATTTCATATGGGACGTAAGCATCTTGTGACCTACAGTCCTGGAAACTCATCAATCAAGCTCAATGTGCCATTTTTTGAAATCATAATGTTTCTTATGCAGCAGTGAATCATACACTGTATATCAACATAATTTCAGAGCATTTTCTTCGGGCACTTGCCAGTATCTGCATGGAGGGACTGAAGGAAAAAATAAAAATCCTCAGTCAAGTGTCAATCAAGATTTGAACTTGCAGTCTCTCAAATATAAGGCTGGAGTATTAGCCCCTTAGACAGTACCACCATTTTTTTGTAGTTTAAAATTCTGATTTACATTCTTCAATAACTTCTCTCTTATACCACATAGCTGGCTGGAAATCCCCATCTGAGACAAGTAATCTGAGCTAACATCACAGCTGCTAAAACAATCTTAAGTGAAGCAACAGAGTGAGAATTTAAACAGTGCATACGCCTGTCAAAAGTAATGGATGCTGGTCCTGGGGTTAAAAACTACCCTAACGCCGGCCCTTCTTTCCACTGAGTAAATAGTTAGTTCACAGTGCAGCGTCAAATATCACTCAAATACCTGTTCAGCGCAGCTCATGCAGGTTGGCAACAGTGGTATCACAGGAAACATATACTCAAGAGGGTAGATCATGGTGACAAACGCCATCACAGACATGGAAAGTGCATTGTAGTCACGAGACTGCAGCACGAGCTGCAAAAGAACAAAGTGGTGACATCAGAGAGTTCAGACTTAAGGGAATGTAAGGGCACCTAATAACGCAGCACATGCTTCAAGAGACAAGGGCTGAGAAGTTCATAACTTTCACAATGTAATGTTTGTTTACACTTGGCAGTGCATTTTTTTCCACATAAAGCAGCAGTCTTGTCCAAAATAATATGCAATAAATATGGTTTCATTACACGAACATCATAAAATTATATGCTTCAAGGTTACAGGAAAATCATACAGTGATGCATTTTAGTGGAACTGAACACTTTGTGGAAGTTCTCACTTCAATTCTCTGTAACATTTACAATACTATGAATGTAAGTGCTTCATACTCTATCACCTACACTCTGGATATAAAATGTAATTCCAGGTTCAAACTTTACTGTCTCAAAAACCACACCTCAATCAATCTTTTACTTTACTACAAGATTCATTCAGTCAGCTGGTCCATTGGCCAGTCTGCCAGACAGCCAACCAGCGAGCGACTGAGTGTTTTTTTTCCTTCCCCATTAAGTTTTGTCAATGATTGTGAATATTATGAATTATTGTACACAGAGCCTTTCAAGACAATCCTAGATGTTTTTCAGGAGGCTACGAGAAACAGCCTTATTTTTAGTTTATCCGAGGATCTTTTTCAGGTTGGCGAGAATTCCGCAGGTTTTCCAGTTGCCCCAAAAACTCTAGCTGTGCCAAGACATTGCTTTCTTGTTTACACTTGGCCAAAATTAATTCTGTAATAAACTTTTGTTTCTATTTTCTGTTTAGTTTTACAAAACTAACTCTGTGGTAAAGAAACTCCAAGATACAACATCATTAATACCAAAACCCATGACTGGACACAACCCTGAGCATTCCACCCCCCATACTTTGTCATGGCCTATTCCATCTTAATGACACCCTCACATCTCCTATGCCTTCCAAGTCGGTTCCCCACAACTAACTTAACAACTCCACAGTACACAGAATTCAATGAGAAACTGATAATTACCCACCTGGTCAATAAATTCCTTCTTACTATGGAACCATAAAGTTCATTAATATGATCACAAAATTCAAAGACTCAACCACATGCAGAGTCACTTCAATCCAGTTTGCATCTTTCCTCCACTCCTATTTAAAATCGCCATCTCATCAACACCTAGATTCCCCATTCAGCCCCACCAAGGTACCTTGTTTTCCAGGAGGATCAGCATCATCACCTTGAGGCACATGTCTACTCCCAGCAGTTCCAGTGGCAGGTGGAGGGGGAAGTCCACCAGAGAGAATCGAGTGTGGTCTGGCAGTGCGAAGATGAGTGAGGGATGGAGAGTGGGAGATAAGATTTCAATCTGCAACAATAAAGTGAGGGTTGCATGCATTCCTTTCAACAGTCTCACTGGAGAGCAGAACGCCGAGTGCAGACATACCTCAACTCTTGTTTTCCCTGGGACTGGTACAGGTGCACTGAGTAGCCTCAAAATCCAAGTCTCGATCTCTCGGACATCATGCAGAACAATGGCGGGTGTGCCTTCGTAAGCGCGTCCCGTCAGGACACTCCATACAGTGTCCCTGTGCAGAAAATATTCAGTGATAAACAGCCAACTTCTCAAAATTCACAAAAGAACCAATCACCACAAATCAGACCATTTACCTAGAGACTTGTCTGGAAGCACCCACACGTCGTGGTGATGTGTTCTCATTGCAGGCATCAATGAGTTTCTTCAAAATGAACAGGCACTCACGGAATATTGAGAAGAAGGGGTGGTGTGACAACAGACAGAGAGACGTCAGAGAGTGGTTCCGAACCCGCTGTAACAAGGAGCAGGCAAGTTACCACTACAACGGAGATTGCAATATGAGAAAATGATGATGTGTGTGTGAGTGCAAGAATTCCAGAGCAGGTGGTCATGGCAAAAGTGAACATGTTTCATGATTTGAACTACACATTGCACCTCCTTACATACATAAAAGATCCTAACAAATAATAAAAGAGCTACAAATTTAAACCACAAAAGATTTTATACAGCACTACAGAAGAAAGTGGAAAGAATGATCTCCAAGAAATTCAAAGAATATCAACCCAGGGAAAGATGCTGAGAATACGGTAATGGAAATTTACAATTCTGTAAAATTCTGAAAAATTCATCATAAACTCCTTGATTTCATTACACTAACACACCAAAATACTGTAGTACAGTCATTAGCATTCTTCCAGGAGATGCCAACCAGTGAGCACTTACACAGACTGCTTTTCATGACTTTATAAGTTCCTTCAGGTAATAAGGCGACTAAAAACAGGCTAAATTACATTAAATCAATCCCATACAACGTGAAGATGAAGGTAAGAATCTCGAAATACCTGTGTTTATGAACTAAGATGGAGCTTCAGGTTCTGGCCACTTTCACATGACAGTACTCAGAACAGCTCAAGAACTTTGTCCATCCATTATCACAGCCTGTCATTTCATAGAATGAACCTTCATGTTTCCATTTAGTAGTGGCAGTGGCTCCAGAAAATTAGAAACTTAAAAAAAGTGACAATTCTACAGAATACTAGGCAGTAACGAGCAGGTTGGAACAGCAGTAACTCCATACATTTACAGAAACCCAGTTAAAATTCTGGCCACGTTACCGGCTAATCCAACCAAACTTTATCGTTTTCCTCAGTCTCTCCAAGTGAATAGACAAATAGTACCTTGAAACGGGGAATGACCACATTCTTCCAGATTGTTCTATTCACAATTCATAACCATTTTCCCACATCATTTTACATCATAAAATCTCTGCACTAGATATAGTAATGTAACAAAGCAAGTGCCCTTTAAATTTAAAAATTTGCTATCTTACAGAAATGGGACAAAGAACTATTGATATGATGTTTAAGAAACACAGGAATGAATGCAAATGCGATCTACAATAATTCCCAATGTCAGGTTGTGTGTAGACTTCAGGCAACATTGTCAGAATGCTGATAGTTGCCCCAAAGGCTGAGCAATTGTGAAATAGCGTCTAATGCTACCTGAATTTAAATCCGAAATAGGACGATCTACCAGACTACAAGCGCAACAAGCCAGAAGACGGAAATCATTGGAATCACTACCGTGAAAGCCTCAAATCCTACTAAAATTGAATGATTCAAGCCGCAATGATGCTCGCTATAACAACTCACCTGTCTTCTTCTACTTGCTCTTGGCGAGGGCGAGTGGGAACCTCCGCTCTCCGAGTCATTGCTCGGGACGGTCACTCCAAGGCGGGGGCCAGATACTGAAGACTGTTGGTGGAGACCATGCGATGTCTCAGAGTCACGCCGGCTTGGCGGACAGTCTCGATCTGAGTCACTGGGAGCCACGTTGCTGCTGCGGTAGTCGCTGATGGTAGGGTCATACCACAAGACACAACTATGAGACGGTCTTTCTGACCTACGATGCACACTAATGCAAGGCCAGTAATAACAGCAATCAGACAATGTCTCCAAGGTATCAGAAGTATGCAGCTTTCATGTCTATAAATGTCATAAATATTTTAAAGAAGATGGTTGTTTTCTGGGGTGTTCCACTGTGTCTGATAGAAGCCAGAGATGCTTGCCACCCCCATCTTTAGGGTAATCATCATCACCGTGATGACAAAACTTCGACAAACTTCTCCTTGACTAAACAGCGCAACAACCCTGAAGACAGCTATCTTTGTACTCACTCCCATCAGAACCCAAAATCTAATAATCAACATTTAATTTTATTACATTTTAAAAATCATCACGCCTGCTTCAGATTTCAGAGACGGCAGATTCAGATCTTGGCAAAGAGACAGGAATTCATAGTTCCCTGAGCACATACATCATCTAATGCTGTATGGCATATTTAATTGACAGAGGCATTGTTAAATAAATTTAAAAAACTTTAGTCCAGTTTCTAATGAACTCTTTTCTTGGATCTTCAGGTTCTGGCAGAGATTTGGCCTGAGACCCTGGGAATACTGATGTGCTGTGATCACATTATTTCAGTATTCGGTGTTCCAAATAAGATCTTGGTCATGATGATGTGAAAGAAAATGTAAAAAAAAGTCTGTGTAATGAAAGTTACCCAGAGAGATGAATGAAAGAGGAGCTTCATAATTCGTACTTATTTAGCACTGTTGCACTAAGAACAACATGGGTCAGGCAATGACTCTAATCGGGGAGACGAGATGAAGTTGAAAATCTCAAGGAAAGGTGCAGACAGACAGAAGGATGATAGAGAAATAAATCTGAACTGGATTCAGCACCAAGGTCAAATTTTAAGCTTTTGTAATCAAGACTCCAGAAGAAAAGAATTTTTTAAACAAGCTGAATAATTACCAACTGCTCAAGCATGACCAAGCACCATGCATTTCATCAGACAGTCAAGTATGTCAATGATTACATGTTGTTTGGTTAAGAAGTTAGGTCTCCTATTTGTTAGGTGAGTTTGTAAGGTAGTCAGTTACTTACAACTAACCACTTGAACCTCAGAGAATATTTATGTTTCACACTTTCTAATAATCATAAGGCAAACAATTCTCCTCAGGGTTCGTGAGTCTCATTTAACAATCTTATTTCAACTAACCTCACACATTTAAAATCTGTTTTATGTTTCGTGCCATTGGATTTCAAGAACTCACTCGTTAGACCACTGGAATACAACTTTATTATTTAAACATTAATGTCACTTTTAATTATTTATTCTACTTAGTAGCTGTTTCCTTTGTTTTCTGGACTACTTCGCATGTCCCCACGACATTTACATTCATTTAACTTGGAATAACCTGCATGATTTCACACATGTTGAATTTACCCTCCACAGCATTCTATTGGTGTTCATGTATTGGTTTACAGTTTTACCATAATTGGCTTATGTTGACTACAGACGTGGTTTTACAGTTTATGACAGTGAATCACAAAACAATTACCTGTAGACCACCAGAACACAATTTAATTATTTAAATATTAACATTTCAATACTAATGTTCAGGTAATAAAGTTGTATTTCAAAGTCAATGCTTAAATAATATAGTTGTATTCTGATCATCTAATCTCCCGAACTTTCACAGCACACATAAAATATTTTCCTACCTTCATTTAACTACTCTAAAAATACAAATTAAGAAGCTCCTAATTACATAATTATCATCTTTCTCTTCTGTTCACTTCATCATCTATGGTTCAAGTAACTCCTCAACTCCCTTGGTCTCTATCTATTATAGAGTTAAAATTTCACTACATAAATTAAAAGCATTCCCTGCCTCTACGATGTGGGCAACATTTCTTCACATCATCTATGAGTGAAACTCACCTATCTTTGTAAAAGAATGGGTCGCTAACCTTGAAAATGCTGAATCGGAGCTCTTCTCCATGCTTTTCCTCCAAGATTCTCTCCGGAAAGTGGATGAGTGCCGGTCCCTACAAGGGCCCCCTAAACCTCCACCTGGAGGGACTCGCTCCAAGGGACGATAAAAATTGACGCAGATCCCATATCGACTTTTCCCTGTGCAAACATAACGGCAACCGAATTTCATGAAAAACAACAGAAATATCACACCACTGGACTTGCTCTAAGTTAATGATTCAAGATCCTTGGCTTTAACAACACTGTACTGGTGTTGGAGAAGAATAGAGAAGATCAGGTGGACGGATCGAGTGACCAACGAAGAAGTATTGAGGAGAGTCAACGAGCAAAGATTACACGAAGGAAAGCTAACTGGCTGGGACATATTATGAGAAGGAATGGATTAATGAGTGATATCATCGAAGGCCAGGTTGAAGGAAAGCGAGGACTGGGAAGAAGATTGATACAGCTAACCGACGACCTTAAACAAGGAAAGAAGATGACGTTCCAGGAATTAAAGCGAGAAGCCGAGAATAGGGACAACTGGAGAGCTCTTTTTGGGCAGAGCAATGGACCTGTCGTAAGACAGAACACTTAATAAAAATAAAAAAATAACGTGGTAGTGTACAGAAGGAACGTCTTCTTTAAAATATGTGTCTTTATTTTACAACACTGTAACAATTTATCTGCACTAAAACATGTGATAAAAGAAAAGGAATAAATGTTGAAACAAGCAAAACAGCATAACTTGTACAAGCAGTAGTGGAAAATATAAGTAAAATGGTTATGAAAATAACCAAGATCATTAAGTTTTAGAAAAAAAGTTGCCGAAAAATAGAATAAAAGTATCTCGAGAATTACTGCAAGTGTTCATCAGTTGGACCTCTATAACCAGTTCACTTAACACACAGTTTATTTGTTTTGTTCTCAGGATAAAAACTGATTGTTTCCCTAAACATCAATAAGTAGTTCAACCTCGTAATAAATCTGTGCTTTCTTGATAATATGACAAACATTTACTCATAAACTATCAGTATTATTTAAGCCCGCTTCATACTTTACCATACCAACATTCATAAAATCATGCTCTAACCAAATGTCGGAGTAAACCTTACAGTTTTAACTTAAAATAAACTGATTACATCCAGATAAATGTACCATATAAGTAATTCTCTCTCAAATGCTATGAAACACCTGCAAAAGCATGTTGCACACTAATTTTGGACTGAGCCCAGCACCCTCAAAATTAAAAGAAAAAGAAATGTACCTAGTCACATAGCATAAGTTAAATCAACTTCAGAGTAATGTAGAATTTATTGATCAGGACAACATTTTGCAGGACTCCTACCTGAGTCCTTCTCAGTGAGGGTGAACACAAATGACGTAGCTTCACGCAATGCAGTGCGTCGTGGTCCAACAGAAACACACCCTTCGGGCTGGCAGAAGTACACCATGTCGAGAGGCAACGGGAAGTCCTTGTGGTCCTCCGTGGGATACCTCCGCAAGAGCTCGGGCGCCTGCACAGACGGAGACGATCCTACTGCCGACCCAGTGCGGGCACGCGCAGTTCCCTGGGGACGAGCTCCCACGATGGCAAGATAGTCCACAAGACGAGGACATAAGAATTTCTTCTGGATGTCACACATTGTTAGAGTTCTATCTTTCAGCTCACAGGAAGAGTCTAATGTTCTCTAGCCCCTGGTACGATTAACATAACAGTCAAAATGAGCACAGCTTGATAGTAGTAAACAAAAAGGCAACACTCACATGTCACGCACTACGTTGCAGATAGCGAACAAACGTACAGCCACTGTACCATCACTAACAGATTCTGCCTCTGAAGATAACTAAACTTTTCGCAGAGCACAAACATGACTAAATATCTTACAATATTCACATTTAAAGAAAAGGTAAGAATCATTTATTGCAACATGAATGGCTGTGAAAAACCATTCCCTTTATTCATCCCATGAAAACAGCATAGATGTGGAGGGGTCACCGCACAATGAACATATGATGATAAAGTTTATGAGTCCATCTGATGCTTCTTCCTCCAGTAGGGTTGGGTCTACGAGGAGTCATGGCATTGATGAGATGAGAGCCACAGGAACACGGCTGTTCTCATGCTGCAGAAAAAACACATGACAAGGTCAATCGAGACAGAAATTTGTTACTTCACTACAAAAATCTCTTATGGGGACAGCAAATCTCTTCTGTAGTGACACACAACGTGTGTGCGCATGATTTCACCCATGATACTCTAAACAAAATTTAAATATCTTCTTTAGAAGACATAAACATTATTTCTACACCATAAGAAACTAATTTCATGGTAAAGGACCTTCTCTGAAAATCTGTTAATTATTCAGCTGGTTAAGACACCTTCTGATTTTATTTTTATGTAACCTGAAGTTTCATTACCATGTCAATAAAACCCTGCCATTTATCCTACCCTGAGCCAGTTAAGCACAAGTTACAATTTTAAAAACCTCTTTCTCATATTATCCTCCCACTTTTGCCAAATTCTTCATTTGAGGCTTCCAAATTACAATTTTGTAAGCATTCCTTGTTTCCCCAACAAGTTAGCTGGTAAAGATTCCACACTACAAGTTAAAAGAATGTCAATTATATCACACAGTACTGTAAGAATCAGAAAGTGCTGCAGGGAGGCGCTGGGCGGACTGCTGCGGTGGTCATTTCTGGGTCCAGCACTAGGAAATGATGACTGTGAAAGAGGGAAGGTAGATCTCTTCTTGTGAAAAACAGTAAAACAAAGCGAAGTAACAAATACAGAAATACGAGTTACGCAGTAATTCTCTATCTTTCTGTAACATTCAAATGGCGTATATGAACGATGATTATTTGGACAGAAAATGGTTATGGCATAACTTACTATGTCCATGGAAAAGAGTCCTTCCGAAGAAGTTCCCCGTCTTGCATAAAATCTGAACATTCAATTATGATATTTTGCTTGGACATTGTTACATTGTCTATTGTTTCAAAAAAGCAAACCAATATAAATGTAAAAATTCTAAAATTCAATATATTTTGGAGCTTGGTAGTCTGTGAGGCCTTTTAGATAAAGCTAATCTTCATCAATGTTGTGTGAAGCACAAGATGTCGTCCCCTGCTACGATAAACCATTCCCGTGTATGAAATACTTAACTTGAATTTGAAAACAGTACCTTGTAACTATAAATGGGGAGTGTGCTTACACTAATGGGTCTGTTGTCATGCCAGGAGGACTAAGAGTCACTGCCTCTGGTGGGAGGGACTCACACCAAGCAAATGCACAGAAGCAGTCAAACAAAGGGAGATTGCAGCTACTTGCCTGTGGGGAGGTAAGCACGGAAACAAATGTGACACAAACTGCGGTGGGTCAGACTACAGGATGACTGATGGAATAATTTTTGAAAAGCCCATATCCAAAACAAGATATTTAAATGCCAATCAGACAAAACTTCTGAACAAAAGAAAAGGAAAATGGCAGACGACACAGAGCAATTTCAGTGGTGTATGCAATGGTTTGGTTGCTCCCACAGATGGCCTTGCTCTATACTTGGTAGGTCCACTACTTCAGTACTTGAGACTGAGACTGGAGAATGTCGACGTCTTTCTTGATGACCGGTGACAGTATAAGTGAGAAGGTGACACTCAGCTGGCCAAACAAACTCTCTGCAATGGCCATGAATACTTGTATTTCCTGCATACTACATCTAGCTCAGTCTGTAATACAGTAGTGTCATCCCAGCGTTATTTTACAGTCTTCAAACACATGAACCTTCATACTTGCCCTTATTTTAAAGGCTTATGTTAATTCCAACTCCCGTGGTCTGCCAGTTTTTCCTGTGTAACAACTCAGTCACATACAAAACTGTACATATACAATTATTCGTGGTTTTTTTTCCATCTAATCCGAAGATCTTCAATGTCCTTCAGACACTTGACCCCAATCTCAACAACCACCTTTCACCTACTCTCTCTATAAGTGATCAGTATTGATCCAGTTCTCCTCGGATACGTTAGTACTTCTGAATACCTTCAAGACATATCTACGCTCTTCCTCGGTATGTTCATTTTTACATTTTACCTGCCATTTTTATTTATATTTTTACCTTATTACATTTTGTCTTCTATACTCGTTCTTTCAAGATCAGTAATAATTAAAAATATTTAAATTATTTACGTTACAGGCTACCTATTGAACCACTATCACTTCAAAATATACCCTCACTCCAATGAATTTGGAAGTAAACATCATCAGAAGTTACACAACAGTAATTAAGTTTTAGTTTATAAGATTATAATTTTTAACTTTTAACTTTATACCTGAAGATGGTTCAATGTAACCGAAACATGTAGTAAAAAGTTGTACCAAATATGTAAATGATATTTTAATATCTTATGTATAATTTTATTTATATACAATTGTGATTAGACGGAAAAAAAACACGAATAATTAAATTTTAATTCACAATATGACGCAATTATATCAACTTATGTACATACACAGTTTGCTGGAAAGGATTCAATTTTTGTGGCTTTATTTTGGACAGAAATCTTCAGACCTTACTGTCAGCCTTGAAGACAGTTCTGATATTACGGTGGTTCCCTACATGTATTAA